GGATAATCACCTGGCAGATATGCTTTGATTGTATTCCTGGATTGAGCAGGAGGTTGGACTTGATGGCTTTGTAGGGCCCTTCCAACTTCACTTCTCTATGATTCTATAAATAAAGAATTTGCTAAAAGGTCATAAACGCTAAAGGACTTGCTTATATAAAAAAACATCTTTCTTGGAATCATATGTCTGATATTTGTATAAGAATGCCCATATTATATCTTTGTGGATTTTTTTTTCTATTTTGAACAGAGACATTCGGAATGTTAGAAACCTAAGATACATACATCCTGAAGCCTTTACAAATCTACCCCTGCTGAAATACCTGTAAGTACTTTTGAGAAATTGTTGTCCCTGTACAATTTGGGCCAGAAAAAAATATTTGTCCCTCTTTCTTCTTTAATTGCAATGTTTTGTGCTGCTGTTATGTTTCACCAAGTCATTTCCCTTATGTTGATCTTATGAGGTCCAAAACCACCTGTCACAAACAGCCCAGTTTAGGTCTTGCAAAGATCCTCTGTTGACTCAGTATCATATATAGGCTTTCTGTTTTCCTCTTCTTGTTGTCATGCTGTCTTCAGATTTTGGGGTGGGGGGCAATATTTTACAATTCTATATTTTACATCTCAAAACAGAGACTATTTTGCATATTTAAAACACTAAGAATTTTGCACATTCTCACATCAAGCAGCACAACCTCTCTTATCCCACATCCTAAGTCCCTATTACAAACTGTTAAAATGTCTTATCTAGAAAACCAGTGAAGTCAAGAATAAATTTTTAAAAAAATCAAGAGTGCAACTGTTTTTAAAACAACAATGGGAAATGACAAATGAACATGGGAAAATGACTTACATTTTGGACCATTGGCCTGTTCAGCTCAAATATTTGCTACATTATCTACAAATTATTGCAATATGGTTTTGAGAATCTAAAGGCACCCCCCCCACTACCTACCTGCTCCTTCCGCTACCAATACACACCACTGTCCTCAGAAGCAAGTGTGACGTCAGCTTCCTTTCCAGGAGCAAGGGATGCAGCTTCTGGGGATGCTCAGAAGTCTGGGCATGCTCACAAGATGTGGCCTGGCTTCTGGAAGGGAAATCAAGCCTGCCGCTTGCTTCTGAGGACAGCAGTGTGCTGCTGCAGAGGGAAATCAAGCCTGCTGCTTGCTTCTGAAGACAGCAGTGTGCTGCTGCATCAGGAGCACCTAGTGGCGAGGGGTGGGGAGATTTGACAAGCGATCGGAAAAATGGTTTCAAAATGCAAGTCAAATGCAAGTCATTGGAAGTAAACACCAAGTTGAATTGCTGGTATGATTTAAGTTTGACTCAACAAGGAGTCTCAAGTTGGTTAGTGGCTGCCAGTTGAAATAAAATGGATCATATGAGTGTACTTAGCCACAATGTAATTCTTTTAATCTGTCTCTGTCTCTTTGTCCTTTGTTATAGTGTGATCTTGAACACTGGACTTGGTGTTTTTCCTGACTTCACCAAAATTGACTCAGTGGATATGACCTTTTTGCTGTAAGTATGCCCTGTCCAAATATACTGGAATGAACTGTAGTACTTGCTGTCATATTCTGAATCATAAATACCAGGTAATTTGTTCCGGACAATGCAGGGTCTTCAATATCAGGTAGCAAAAATCACATGGAGATAGATTTAGTAGGCTTTTATGTTGACAAGTGATATTTCTATCAGTGAGATTAATATGAGTAAACAGTTTTTGAAAGAGTAGCTAGGCTAGTCTGTGCAAGCATGTCAGACGAAAACAAAACAAACAGTAAAAAAGAGACAAAAACATTGTTGCAGCTTGAAGACCTAATGTGCTGTATTAATTTGAATAGTCAGACGAAAACAAAACAAACAGTAAAAATGAGACAAAAACATTGATGCAGCTTAAAGACCAAATGCGCTGTGTTAATTTGAATATTTGTGGATCACTTCCTCAGACATCAAAATCAGACTGTATGGCTGTCATATTTATACATGGCCTCATGACCAGATGAGGATACATATAATGGTCAAAGTGACAGTGGTTTGCTAGTACAGGAATAGACTGTCAGGATAATGTAAAATATTTAAGATGTAAAATATTTAATTTAGATTTCTAAGGTGGAGCTGTGTAGCAGTCTTAGAAAATGGAAGACTCTTTATGGGGAAAAAAAAGGTGACATCCAATCTCAGATTCTACATGGTAACATCCAATAATATAAAATGCATCAAACCCATTTTTATACTACAGTTGCATGAAGGTCTAACACACTGGTTTTTAACCTTGGGTTACTCAGGAGTTTTGGACTGCAACTCCCAGAAGCCTACACCACCAACTGTGTTGGCTGGGGTTTCTGGGAGTTGCAGTTCAAAAACATCCGAGTAACAAAGGTTAAGAACCACTCTAACACATGAATAAGTGAGAATTAAAGGTTAAGAACCACTGGTCTAACACATGAATAAGTGAGAATCAGTTGGAGCTCACAGTTACATGAAAGAGCCTACAGGAAGAGGTCTATCTGTCCCTTATAACCTTCCATGAGTGTGCAGGGAGGAGAAGCCAAGTAGTTCACACTCCACTGATGCATGAATGGACCTAATAGGACTTTATCATGAGAACAAAGGCAAAAAGCAAAGAGTGCTGCTTACATAAAACCCCATAGGGCTTAAAGCACTCTCTGGGTGGTTTACAATTTAATTATGCAGGCTACATATTACACCCACCCACCCCAGGGTACTCATTTTACCAACCTTGGAAAGATGGAAGGCTGAGTCAAGCTTGAACTGGCTACCTGGAATTGAACCCCAGGCCATGAGCGCAGTTTGGCTGCAGTACAGCAGTTAAACCACTGTGCCATGAGGCTCAGGAGTTGTTGTATATTAAATTGCAATGAGTTTATTTTGGCACAATTTTTTTGTGGACTTCATTCCACATTGTTAGATAATGAAATGTTATCCTGAAATTCCTAGTGCATGTACATGTGAGGGTGAGGTAGGGATTGTAAGAGCAACTATACCTTATGTTATTCTGCTACCATTTCATGCTGGGAATGCCCCCATCTCAAGTGGTTCACAAGCCATCAATTTTGTTCGAGTAAAGGGAAGTGAAATATGAAAAGTAACAACTGTGTTACTGAAACTGATCATTGACAAAGTAGTGTTTGTGATATCAAACATGGTGAAGTATAATCTAATTTGCAAAAATGAATGCAATCATCCTTTTTTTTCAGTTTTTACAATGCCACAGCTGCCTTCATTGTTCTCATGATAATGACAATATAATAATTGTGTGCAGTCAAGTCAATCCCGATTTACGGTATGGTGAACCTTTTCAGGGCTGTCTAGGTACAGAGTACTCCGAACCGGTTTCCCATTCCCTTCTTCTGGGGGGCACCCTTGGACTGTGTCACTTGCAGAAGGTCACACAGGGTAGCCCTTATGGGATGCATGGGGGGGGGAACAACTCCCCACTGTGCATCCCAGAAGAGCCACCCTATGTGACCTTGGGCAAGTGACACAGAACAACTCCCCACTGTGCTCATGGAGCTGTCCAGTCAGCTGGTGTCATGATGCTGTCCCATTAGTTGAGTCTCAAAAAACAATAAAGTAAAATGTGCAATGATTTTAGTTCTGCATCTGCTGTGATGATACAGCCTTCCTTCAGAGCTGGATGCTCTAAACAGTATTGTCGTGTCTCTCCTTTGTGACTTTTTAAAAATCATGAGATGAGAGTAGTAGTCTCCTAGAGCAGGGGGCCCCACCCCCCAGTCTACAGTCCAGTACTGGTCTGTGGCCTTGGCAGGACCAGGCTGCAGAGACAGATCTCTCACCCACCCCGCATGCACAGATGCACGCACGCCCCCGTATGCAGGCATTGATGCCTCCCACCCACCCCCACGCATGGACAGATGTACTCCTGCACTCATATATGCATGCACAGATGCCCCCCACCCACCAGACGAATGCTAAACTGGTCCGCAGTGTCAAAACTGTTGGGGACCACTGTCCTAGAGATATAGTTAACACAGCAGTTTGTTCATGAAAAACAACTCTTTGAATTAGTCCAAGTAGTTGTTAGAAGTGGCAGCAGAGCTTGGAATGTTTTATTATTTTAAATGAACTTGTTATGGTACTCAATACTTTCAGGGAGCCAGGCTGTCATGATTTTTAATGTTGCTCTGTTTGCAGACATAGTTTGCTGTATTCTGTGTTAATAACAATTGTGTTGTTACCACCATCAGAAAAATATAGAGGAATATTCTCCAGTGGGGCACATTCTGATATTGTACCTTGAAAGGACTATGACAAAACAAAACAATACTGCTCTTGCCACTTACAATTGTTAAGACCATAAAATGTCTGTCAAAATGCCTCTGAAAATGCTTTTCAAAAGTTCATTTTGAAAGAACTAAATATGTTATTCATTACACTGAAAACAAACATTGTGTGATTTTAAATGTGCTTTAATTAGACCTTTATTACAACAAAAGTCATTAGCTATTTCCAAGCTCTGTATGGTGGTACTAATAGTAGTAGTAGTAGTAATAGTAACAAACATCAGCTGACAAAAGTCATTAGCTATTTCCAAGCTCTGTGGGGTGGTACTAATAGTAGTAGTAGTAATAGTAACAAATATCAGCCAATATCCTGTTGTGCAGCTGCACCTGTACAATGGGAATGATGTGTTCATCAGTGGCTAATTGCCAGAAATTAAAGACTTCCCTTTTCAATTTCAGGCTTTGCATGACTTTGTCTGATTGCATGTGAGTCACATGCATCCCAAAATTGAAAAAAGAACTTTAGTTGGCAGCAATCTGCCATTGATCATGTCATTCTGTTTGTGCAGGTGGTGCTGCACACCAGGCTATTGATCAGTAATGCTGCTTATGTGGTATGATACTGATAATAACATTTAACTGTAATTTATTGTGATGCTAAAACTTGTTCACCTTTTTCACAGCGAAATTGCCGATAATCCATATATGAGTTCAATACCTGCAAATGCATTCCATGGGCTGTGCAATGAATCCCTTATACTGTATGTTGGTCCACTACAGGTCTTTTTCTCTTTATTTATTTCATCCACTGTGAAGCAGAGCCTCACTGTTAATCCATGACATTAACAAAGGACTGTTGCTGCAAGTAAAAAGGATGTTGACAAAGGTGTTAATGTTGTCTCAAATAATATAGCATCATTTTCTTATTTATTTATAACAGGAGTCATATACAAAAAAGACTTAATAAAATACAAATATACCTTGGTTTATGAATTTAATGCATTCTCTGGGATGTTACGTAATGTGAAAAATTCATAAACCGAAACACGGTTTGCCATAGGAATGGGGGCGGTGTTATAAACCTCCAGGCGCAATGCATCCTGGGGAAACTTGCTTCGTACAGTGGAAAAAAATTGTAAACAAAGGCATTATTTTCAATGGATTTCTATTCATAAACTGAAAATTACATTAACCGAGGTACTCGAAAAATACGGTATAAACAAAGGCATTATTTTCAATGGATTTCTATTCATAAACTGAAAATTACATTAATCGAGGTACTCATAAACCGAGGTACTACTGTAGTTAGAAAATCCAGGTTTCTGTGAATGTTTCTTTGAACATCTTAAAGGTTTTTAAACATTTGTTATTCAGTCCAACCATGTAGGTCTCATATTCTGATAAAGGCATTTTGATTTGAGAAAACAGAATAGCTTTTAACAAGAGTTGGAATAAAACAACCTCCTAAATGACAGACTTCTTAATTTAGCCTAGTGGTGATTTCTACAGGCCTGAGGTAATACATAAATCAACCTGAGAGAAAATTTCGTAACACTGTTCATGAAATAAAAGTCCTTGAATTAGATCAAGTCATTGTTTCCTCTGGTTTGGGTTTACTGTTTAAGTAGCTAAATTTAGTTTTCTTGTTGGTTCTTATGTTCATTTTTTTTGGTTGCCTTGTGAAACCATGGCCACAAATATTAAGCCTTATATAAATCCTATTAATTTAGTGAGTCTACTCTAATTATGACTACCATTTTGGCTCAATTTACCCCTGTTAGTGAAGTGTAATACAGTAATATCCCCTTATCTGTGGGATCAGTATCCACAGTTTCACTTATCTGCAGTCTGAAAATATAAAAAATATTAAAAGAAAAACTACAGAAGAAACTATTTTACATGTATTACCAGAACTGACCACTAGAGGGAGATGAATACATACCATGGTCACTGGCCCCTTCTAGTGGCTACTTCTGGTAATGCATGTGAAAATATTTTTTCTGGGTTTTTTCCCCTTATACCATGCCATATATAGTGTTCACTATTATCCATGGTTTTCAGTATCCGCGGGAAGGGGTGGAACCAATCCCCAGGAGATATGGGGGTCCTACTGTATAAATTGAATACCGTGAAGATTTGGTTCTTCTCATTCCAATGGCTAGGAAGATATAATCAGAAATTACTCAAAGCTGTTCATGGGTGAAACATATTTAATGGATTTAACAAGGAAAAGTTGTGAAAGCTTTTTGTTGGATTATAAAGGAGGAAACATTTTCAAGTAGAAGGCATTACATGAAGAAACTGAAAACATTACATAAAGTATGGCCAAAATGAAATTGTGGAAGTAGTTTTCTATTGTTTTTCATGCTCAAGATAACCACAGGGACCACAACAGTATAGAAGGAATATCCTAGTCTCTTGAGGTAACACAGTCCAGGGGCCAACAGATTATTTATCCATTTCCCACTTCCTATACTGGTGACAAGTTTTGAGCCCCCAAAAAGCTTCATAAGCACAATTAAAAATTTTCTGCATCCTGCTTTCATGCCAGCTAGAATCTCTTGCCTGAATATATGGGCGCCAGGCCTGTCTACGCTATCTTCTTGTCCCTTTTTCTTGCATATTCCCCCTTTTGAGCCCCTTGTTCCTGATACATGGGTACCTTTAGAATAGGATCTGGGTAAGATACTGTACTATGGGATAAGAATAAGAATTACTGAACTGTGAAATGAAGTCTAAAATGTGGCTGTAGATACGAAGACTTCAAGAAGCATAATTAATAGCAGGGGAACTTATAGTGGTGTCAATGTACATCTCTTGCTAATGTTTCATTCAAGTTTTTGTGGATACCTTTTTTCTTTTCCAATTCCTGGAAGGCTGGGCAGAAACAGAAGCAGGTGTTAATGTATTCATAGCTGTAATAAATGTTGTGTAGTGATTGGACATTGTTATCATTAGAGAAAAGTAACTTGGGCCAAAATATGCATGAAATCAGAAAGGTAACTTGTCATTGTATTATACCAGCAACTAATAATGCTGTTCTTGTTTACAGAAAACTCTATAATAATGGATTTACCAGGATAGAAGCACATGCATTTAATGGAACAAAGTTGGATTCTGTGTAAGTAAATAATGTTTGTAGACCGTGTCCAGGTTTTCAAAGCATCTCACATTTGTCATGTAGTTTCTCAGTGTTTACAATGAGAAGAGCCTTGGCGCAATGGTGAAACTGCTGTACTGCAGCCAAAACTGTGCTCATGATCTGGGGTTCAATCCCAGGTAGCTGGTTCAAGGTTGACTCAGCCTTCTATCCTTCCGAGATTGGTAAGTACCCAGCTCGCCGGGAGGGAGGGCAGTGTGTAGCCTGCATAATTAACTTGCAAACTGCCCAAGAGTGCCTGAAGTGCTATTGGGCAGTATATAAGCAGCCCGCTTTGCTTTGCTTTTGCTTATACAATAAGTTTGTAAAAGAAGCCAGAATTATTATTCCACTTATTGTGGAATAATACTCCACTTATATTATATAATTATATAAATATTCCATTTATATTATAGAGCAGAGGTCCCCAACCTTTCTCATCCCGCGGACCAGCTGGGGAAGGTGGTGCACCCATCGCGCTTATGCACATGTGTGAATGAGTGCATGCGCATACACCGATGTGGCGCTTGTGTGGGTGCGTGTGCACTCTTGCACATGCACAAACAACATTGTGGCCCCCACATGGGCACTCAGGTGCATGCGCAAATGGCAGCACGGTGCTCACATGGGAGCGCGGGAGCGCCCGCGCATGCACAAATCAGCTTTGCGGGGATGAGTGCGTGTGGGGGACAGGGGGCTTGTTTCCACAGCCCAGTCTGGCTCAGGCCGCAGACCAGCACCTGGCCATGGCCCAGGGGTTGGGGACCTCTGTTATAGACTATTATTCCACTTATTGTGGAAATAAAGATGAGAGAAAGAATGGATTTCCTAAGGACACTGATGGTAGAGGTGAGATCTGAACAATCTCTTGAACTGTAGCTCAGTCTCTTAGCACCAGTTATACTGCTATACTCACTCCTTTTTCAGAACATATCTAATATACTAAAGCTACTGAAAAACAAAAGAACCTATGATGTCTTGTTTTGGGGCAAAGCATGTTTAGGATTAGTCAAGACTTTGTTCCTAGCAAAATTTTCAAAGGCAAGATGTCTTGGTGTACTCCTGTACTGATAAAAGCTCTCTACAAACTCTAATATTTATTTATTTTATTTATTTATTGCATTTATATGCCACCCATCTAGACATAGTCTACTCTGGGCGGCTCACAACTTAGAAGATAAAAACAATTTAAAATATACAGTTTTACATTAAAAAACAAAATGATATAAAATGTAATATAAATTTACGATTTTAACAGTTAATTTAAAGCAAAGAGTCCCAAGATGGCAAGAATAAAAGAAGAAAAATAAGAATGACTTAATTGACTGAAGGGAAGGCCTGCTTGAATAGCCAAGTTTTCAGCTGGC